CTCCAGGCGGACATCAACCAAATCTTTCAGTGGGCTGCAGAAAACAATATGAAGTTCAACGATGAGAAATTTCAATTACTCAGATATGGTAAACATGAGGAAATTAAATCTTCATCAGAGTACAAAACAAATTCTGGCCACAAAATAGAGCGAAACACCAACGTCAAAGACCTGGGAGTGATTATGTCGGAGGATCTCACCTTCAAGGGACCATAACATTGTATCAATCGCATCTGCTAGAAAAATGACAGGATGGAATAATGAAAAACCTTCAAAACTAGGGAGGCCAAGCCCATGATGACACTCTTCAGGTCACTTGTTCTATCTAGGCTGGAATATTGCTGCACTCTAACAGCACCTTTAAAGGGCAGGTGAAATTGCCGACCTAGAAAATTACAGAGAACTTTCACGGCGCGCATAACGGGGGATAAAACACCTCAATTACTGGGGGCGCTTGAGGTTTCTAAACCTGTATTCCCTGGAACGCAGGAGGGAGGGGATACATGATTATTTTACACCTGGAAAATCCTAGAGGGACTAGTACCGAACTTGCACACGAAAATCACTCACTACGAAAGAAAAAGGGATTGGCAGACGATGCACCATCCCCCAATGAAAAGCAGGGGGTCACTAGCACGTTAAGAGACCATACAATAAGTGTCAGGGGCCCGAGACTGTTCAACTGCCTCCCAGCACACATAAGGGGGATTACCAACAGACCCCTGGCAGTCTTCAAGCTGGCACTGGACAAGCACCTAAAGTCAGTTCCTGATCAGCCGGGCTGTGGCTCGTATGTTGGTTTGCGTGCAGCCAGCAGCAACAGCCTGGTTGATCAGGCGCTGATCCACCAGGAGGCCTGGTCACAGACCGGGCCGCGGGGGCGTTGACCCCCGAAACACTCTCCAGGTAAACTCCAGGTAGGTTACCTACATCGTTCATAATTCTGTTTCTGGTTGACATTTGCATAAACCTATTAAAAACCCTTTAATAAACCTTTTCAATTCACTTGACCAATTCAATTCACCCTCAATTCTAAGCCTTCCGAGAAAATGAAAATTTAGATCACAGGAGTTATGGAAGACTAAGTAACAGATGGAAGGTTAAAGGCGTTAGTTATTTACTCACCCCCTAGACTCTTCTTCATATCAAGAGACGTTGAGGGTAAAGTTGGTGGGAAGTTGAAGGCGATTTTAAGACATGGGATCAAATGACCTTCCATGTATATATTATCATACTTATTTTTTTCAGGCTTTAAGCAAGACCCATTGGGCCGGACCACAGTTCAAGATCAATGAATTGCAATTCAGCCTCTAACCAAGAACCATGGAGCACTGACCCGGATTCTGACGGGCGAGAGCCCATGAACTAGGACCTACGGGAACTAAGATGGCAAGATGATATACCCGACACCCGAGGCCTCCTGCCCAAGACATGTTGCCGTCCTTCCCTGGCTAATGCTGCCCAGGGACAGGGCACGCATCTGAGAGGTGAAGGGAAATGTGAGAGACCAGGATTGAATCTGAAAAGGGAATACGAGTTCTACATTGAATCAGGAAAGGGAATATGGATGGTAAAATTATAAAAATACGTAGGTGTTGAAATGTACATTATTTCCAATATAAATTTAAAAAAAAATCTTCAAACTAGCACTGATACTGCTCTCCAGTACTGTACACTGAAAGGTATTAATCGAGTTATCATTCACGAATGCGTACAATCTGGTCGGAGATCGAGGCCGCGGGGACGATGATCCTCAGAAATATTACATGAAAAGACTGTTCAACAGCCTCCCACCAGCCATACGGGGCATTACCAGTAGACCCCAGGTTGTGTTCAAGAGGAAGCTGGACAGATATCTGAAGTCGGTGCCGGATCAGCCGGGCTGTGGCTCGTACATTGGATTGCGTGCGGCCAGCAGTAACGGCCTCGTTGATTAGGCCCTGATCCACCGGGAGGCCTGGTCGTGGATCGGGCCGCGGGGGCGTTGATCCCAGGAACACCCTTTAGGTATACCTTTATAATATTGATGCGCTTCCCGTTAAGACATCTCCACCTGCAAAATGTTAACATTTTTGTGCAAGAAAGGTATAAAATACCGACGATATGAAAGTTAAGACATGTGCAACATCTGGATATCTTTATTGTAGACGTTTCGCCATCCAGTGGCTTTATCAATACAGATTTTAGGACATAATTGGAAGACCGTAGAACCATATACAAAAGATGAGGTAATCAGTCCCTCAGCCTTGGAATTAGTGTTCACAGCATCGCGGGGGAGGAGAATCTGGAGCAAAGGCAAGAAGACTGGCGGTTATAAGAACGTAATATTTACAAATTTACAGAATGCGTTATAAATCTGCACGGGAAATAAAGTGACGAATGGCGCCTTTCTTGTTTTCTGTCGTGTTACAAATTCATAAAATTTACTTTTTTCATTTTTTACTCTCATTACACACTGCTCGTTCCTGTACGCTTCTTAATAGTTTTTATTTCTGTAATGTTTCCTTTCCAATGTAGGACCAGACTGTACATAAATGGTATACAATACGACAAGATGCAGAATTAAACATGTGCTAAGATACCCAGATGTTGGACAAGTGTCTAGGAACAGATTGTAGGAACAATGGTCATGGAACTATTAATAAGAAATCACGACTGGTCCACTAGGAAAAAGTGATTACTCAATCTTCCAATTACGTTCCTTGTAAGACTGTCGTCCCCTCCCTCCCTTCCCACGTCCAGCGGCCTCCCCACCCCTTCCTACTATTGACCGTCAGTAAACAGACTTCTATGCATGTTCGCTGCCTCCATCCCTCGCTGCCAACACAACTAACCAAAGCTCATAATGAATGCCTGTTTTCTCAGCATTATTTGCTCTATTTTGTAATACTATCTGAATGGTGGGGTGCGGGGGTCAACGCCCCCGTGACCAGGCCTCGATCAGACACGGAGAATATTCCTCTATTAACCTTTTCGGCCCACAACCAAATTTCAGACACGAGAAATAATAATTTTATACTCTACTCTTAGCATTTTTTAATTCATGAAAACTGCTATAAATTCAACAATGTGGAAAAAAAATCAGCTCATAAAAAAAATTCTTGAACCTTATAATGCTTGGTTTACCAGCCTCACTCACATAGTCCAATATACAATAGCTCTTGGTTTAGAAAGACACGTAAGCAAACACTATAACATATTTATTAGAAAACGTTTCGGTCCTGGGACCTTGATCACTTCTGATCAAGGTCCCAGGACCGAAACGTTTTCTAATAAATATGTTATAGTGTTTGCTTACGTGTCTTTCTAAACCAACTTGTCGGTATTTATTACCAAGGTTTATACCACAATAGCTCTTACCCAAACCAGGGAACGGGTGGGGTTCAAAACCCCACGCGTTCCTTGGTTTGTAATTGTGTTATGATTTCCCGAGTCAGCTCCCCCCCCCCCCGGAAAAAAAGTTTTTCTGACACCTTCCGGTAAGAGATTTCTCCACCAGCCAGGAAAAAACCGTTGACAGTATTGAGAGGAAGAGCCAGCTTTCCGTCCGGCGATCTCGACTCGGAGACCTCAACGTTTATCTACAAGAAACATCCGCCGGGACAAACAAAACTGATAAAGAGTAGGTAAAAAAAATGCATACGTACATGCAGCAACGGATGCACAGATAAGCTCTTAAATTCAAGCCGTATTATAATATTCATGGCGAAGCGCTAAACCCCTAAGTGACCTGGGAAATGGGATGTAATTTGGTTTGATTCAAGGATCAGCCGGGCTGTGGTTCGCACGTTGGACTACGTGCTGCCAGCAGTAACAGCCTAGTTAATCAGGCCCTGATCCACCGGGAGGCCTGGTCGTGGACCGGGCCGCGGGGGTGTTGATCCCTGAAATGCCCTCCAGGTAGACTCCAGGAAGGGGAGGATAACTACAATTTCTTACATTAAAAGTCCTCCAGCAGCATCAGGTGTCACGCGTGTGGGGTGTTACCCACTGCCATTCCGAAATCTGCAGGATTTGTCCTGTCAGATATACACGGCAATTTGACGCGTTGACAAACGAAAAAAAATTGCTGTATTTAACTCTGGTGTAATCAATAATGTTAATGAATTACTTCAATATTTTCAGACTCATTTATTCGTTGATAAATTAGACATGTGCATCTCTTGGAAACGTTTCGCCACACAGTGGCTTCATCAGTCCATACGTAGGAGAAACTTGAAGAACAGGAGTAGAATGAGGTAATCAGTCCCTCAACCTTGAGTCGATGTGTTCAGTCCATCAATCTTGAATAGAATACGGCATATCAGCGGAGAAGCAGCTTATAAACCATATGGCAGGAGAGGTGCAGCAGTCATAGGTCGTGTCACATTTGTTCAATGTGGAAGTAGGTCGTGCCCAAGAATTAGGTCGGATGCAGTGCTCCTCCCTTGAGTGACGTGTCTGACCTTACTAGGTCAAGGCATTGGCTTAAGCCGGTGGGAGAACTGGACCTGCCTCGCATAGGCCAGTAGGCCTGTTGCAGTGTTCCTTCTTTCTTACGTTTTAATATCTGATACATGGAGAAATATTACTTATTTTTTCCCTATTTCCTGAATGGCATTTTGTGTTCCTTATATCCGGCATAAATACCTAAATCTCTGTTCCATATTGGAAATTTTTATGAATATTCTCTTTCATATATTTTAATATTTACGATTATGTAATCTTCCAGGTTCTCATTCTGTTTGAAGTTCTTTCAGACTGTCAGCGAGACATTTTATACACGCAATAAACGCTCTTGTATTTACCTCTTTCATGCACTGTTTTTGGTTACGTGTTAAAGACTTCCAGACAGAACCGACAATCCCAAGCAGAGTCCTGTGCATAAAAAATAAACGCATGTAGAACAAGCAGAACAATTGCGCTGTCGAGGTTTGCATATGCGTCTTACCTAACAACGAGGTTTATCCTGTATACATGTGTCAACATACCTGTTGGTGTTAGCAGTCCAGTACAGTCCTCGTTGCTCAGCTCTTACCTGTGGAAGATGCATGAACGGTTAAGCATTTTACCGCCACAATTTAACCACTTAAACAATTAGTCTATACAAATTCTCATTAACTTGTTCACGTTAAAGTACCAATGCTAGAACAAATCTTCAACGAGTTCTGAATTTATATTTTGTACAGTAAGTAAAACTTGCAAAATAACGAGGCTGGCAAAAGATCAACCCTGAAACGAAGAGGACTGTTAAATTTACTGAGTGAGCTGTAAACAAGGAAGGATTATACAGCGCCTTGGCAATGGGAAATGAGAGAATGCATGATGCAAAATAGAGAATTCTTAACCTAATCCTTAAAAATCCTTATTAAATATGTGGGAATAAGAGACAGGCAGATCGACGTTAGCAGAAAAAAATGTGTGTGATTGGGATTCTGCCTCCGAGACTGTTACTTTATTGTGAACCCCATTTGTATCCTGTAGTGTAGAGGGTAGTGCCGGAGCTTATGGATGCACAAAGGCTTAAGAACCCGGCATAAAAGGAATAAAGAATAAATTTAGGTATAGTTTATGACTTACAATTTTGTATACGATAAGAAAATTGAGGACACTTGCTCAGAATTTCTGGCATCTTATTTTAATACATCTTGACGGGAGATTGAACGGTGCACTCTACAATCCTCAATAAGTCATCATGTAATGCTAAAACCAAGTGACCTTAAGGTTAACTGTATAATTATTAGTTTATTATCGTCTGTGTAAACTCTGACAGAAGTACTTTTTAACCAGGCCTAAGCTTGGCTAGTGTAACGTTCATCAGCGTTCGCATCTGCAAGTTATAGTAGATTACAGATCTACTTTGTCTTGAACTGCGTTACTACTGACATTCAAATTCTTTAATTCTTAATATTATTTATAATGCCTGACAGACCAAGGTTAGACATGTGGGTAGGCCTGCGATCAACGGTTGCGGTAGCTGTTCCGCCGTCTAGTTTGCAGTGGTCAACGCAGAATATGGCAACACCACTTTCTGGTACTTACCTAAATAAACACTAGCCCCTTCCTTACTTTTCTTTCTGACCAACGTCTTCCCATGCAAGGTCCCCGGGTTAGAATCCCTGGTGGGGAGAAACACGAGGACCAGTTTCGCAAACGCACACTAGAAGGGAGTGAATCAGGTAAGCGGCAAGTTTAGAGGCGGGGTCAGAAGTTAAGAATCTACCCCTACAACCACACAGGCGAGTACATATAGACGAGAGTACACTCGCCTACCCACACAGCAACCAGCACATATCCACCCCTCCCCACCCAGCTCATAAATTTGTCTCTTGAAACCTTCCAAAAGAACCGAAATGAGAAGTCCAGTGATTGATTCATGACTTTTTCTCCCAACATTTCCTCTGGTGAGGATTGAGATGGGCGAGAGTGGGAGGGGAGGGGGTAATGCGGGGGAGCTAGCAGATGCAGGGGGCAGGAAATGGGGAGCTTGGCAGAGGTTGGGGAAAAGGGAGCGGCAAAAGCTGGGGAAGGGGGAATGTGGGGGGACAAGATAACTTCTGTCTCCAGTTTACCTAGAGTCGCTTCTGGGACCTGGTCGCGGGGTCCCATACCGGCCTCCTGCCTGATTGATCAAGTTGTTTGTACCACCCGCCCGCAGACCAACACATGCACCACAACCCGGCTGATCAGGAACTATTCTCGAGGAATCTGTCCAGTTTTCTCTTAAAGGCAGCTAGGGGTTTGTAATTAAGCTTTCTTATGTATGAACGGAGGACGTTGAAGAATCGTGGTCCCTTAACACTTATCGCTCTCCTGCTTATCATTGCAGGTATCCTGCACCGTGTGCCAAGCTTCCTGTGTTAATCAGTAATTTCAGTGTGTATTTGGGACCAATCCCTGTAGTATCTTCCAGGTGCATTTTATGATTTGTGTTTCGCGCCTACGTTAGATTCTAAGGAAGGGGGTCTCCGAACTGTGGCCCGTAGCAACTTTCAAATATTTATAAATGGCAAAATAATAATGTCGTTTTCAATCACTTATTTATATTTATACACAAGGCCGATTTATTTCTTTGGTCCGCAAAAAGTACATAATGTAAGATGTAGAACCCGTAGTGAAAAGCTTGCAGACCCCTGTTCTAAGGAGTACAGTTCTAGGGACTTCTAGTTTAGTAATGTTAAGTACTTAACTCAGTTTATACCAAGTGTGAAGGATTCTGTTTATAGCTCAGTAAATTCTCCTGACGTTAAAGGTGCCGTTAGTACACAACAATATTTTCACTTAGAGCGAGTGACTGAAAAGGATCACTGGGTTGGCTTCATTTGTTCTGTAGGTTCTAGTTATCCACCCTACCGAAGTTACGATGACTGTTGTACTCGTTGAACGTGAAGGAGAGAAGGAAGACGGGCCATAAGCACTATACCTTTGATATACCTTTGATGTGTCCTCATGAGGACAGGTTCGTGATATACCCTCCCCACCCTCTTCATCCTAACAGCCATCATCCTACTGGTAAACCCGGTCAATCTGGTTCTCTAGTAACGTCAGAGTGCCTCTCTCCTATGACCCTATGACGTCACAGTACCTACATCTGGTGCCCGCGTCCTGAAAAAATCCCCACAAAACACATCACCCACATTTAGGGTTCAGAGTATCCTGCTCTGAGGGCTCTGGTGGCCTGGTGGTTAACGCTCTCGCTTCACACGGTGAGGGCCTGGGTTCGATTCCCAGCCAGAGTAGAAACATTGGACGTGTTTCTTTCCACCTGTTGTCTATGTTCCCCATCAGTAAAATGGGTACCTGGGTGTTAGTCGACTGGTGTGGGTCGCATCCTGGAACACTGACCTAAGGAGGCCTGGTCACAGACCGGGCCGCGGGGGCGTTGACCCCCGGAACTCTCTCCAGATAAACTCCAGCACCTTACTATAAACAAAAATAAATAATTCTAAAGCGCCACTGTATAGGACAAAATATTTTTTTCCCAATTAACAAACAATGAGAACGTGTTATATATTTTCTAACAAATACATGAGAAAATTAAGTGACTTTGACCAGGGCATTTGATCCCCCCCCCTCCGGTTAAAGAGGCTTAACCTTTATTTTAAAGCAGTATTGTGTTCGTCTGAAACAAATGCAGCTTTAACCAAAGTAATATTTTAACTATAACAACTGATACTACATATATTTTTTTTACGACAAGCTATTTCCCACCAAGGTAGTAACAAACGAAACGCCTCAACCATTACGTTTTCACTAGCTGTCTTGTGAGAAGTGTGAAGATACCGCAATTTGAATGGCCCTCTGTAACACAGCAACATCATCCAGTACTCGTGAAGAGCGCGGGTATATATACTCTTCTCAAGAACACAAACCAGTGGAAAGTACTAATAAGAATCAACACAAGTCACCTGCCGTAAACTGACTACAGACTAGCGTCACTGGTACACTAAGAACACAATAAGTGTCCGGGGCCCAAGACTGTTCAACAGCCTTCCACCAGGCATAAGGGGAATTACCAAGAGACTCCTGGCTGCCTTCAAGAGGGAGCTGGACAGAAAGTCTGTGCCGGATCAGTCGGGGCTGTGGTTCGTATGTTGGCCTACGTGCAGCCAGCAGTAACAACCTGGTTGATCAGGCCCTGATCCACCGGGAGGCCTGGTGGTGGACCGGGCCACGGGGGCGTTGACCCCGGAAAACCCTCCAGGTAGACTACATGAGGATTGCAGTCACCAAGTGCAGTGAGGAACAACGTATTTACGTAAGGTTCAAGACATTAATAATCCTGAACTGTTCACAGGTCTCTTCCACACGTGGTCAGCATCACTGTGCCATTTTTTCACCAACTGTGGTGTGTACTCCATGACTACTGCACAGCTATGTCACACCGCGATGAATTTTTTTTTTAATGAAAGCTCTGTCCAAGCCTGGGCCGCGGGGACAGTAATTCCAGGAACAGTCTACTACCTTTCCTATCTACTGATAATCCCACTCCAGCTATGCCTCCACACAACCCAGCAACTGCGAAATAAAAAGTTGCCAAAGACATTTGCTAGAACAACAAGACCAACTGACAGTCCACCCCCCCACCCCCCCACCCAGTGTGCTTGGTGATATCAATACTAAAACTATGGCATGTTCCCAGCTGCAAGACATAAGCCGCCAGTTTATGATGTTACTTCCTTGTAGGCAAATATACCTAAATACAGGCTAATTTAGGTTAACCTTATACAAAAGGTAAATATTTGCAAAGTTTGGATAGGGCAGAAATTAACAAACCGTAATGTGTGCGAAACTGCCCGCTTGGAGGGCAGGTTGAATAGTTATAAATTTAAGAGTAAAACAGCCTCTCAAACAAGCTTGTAAATTTTATAAATGTGTACATAACTCATTGTTGCATATATGAAAATGTACTACTAAAACCATTCGTCACTAAGTTCAGTAACATTCCTGTCACTTTCCCAGACACAGCTTCAAGAGTATATACGATCGGACTCTTAAGGCCAAGAATTAGTAGGGCTTGTCTACAGCCGAGGATGCGCCAAGAGCTGTGACACTGCCCCGGAAACACTATACAAGAACACTGGTTGGTCTATACCTTCACCCCAACCCCTTCAACACTATCAGTCACCCTTCACTCTCACCCACCCGTTGGTTTGTCAGGTAAGAACTTTATTGAAGACAGTAACGAGAGAGGGGATTGGTTGGGGTGGAGAGGAATTTATAGGGGGCTGGCCCCCACAAATCCCCCTCCACACCACCAATCCCCTCCCACATAATTGTCTCTAATAAATTATTTACTCGACAAACCAACGACCAACATTCATTATCAATACCACTGCATTAAAACGTCCATAAACACCTACCCTATCTTTTCTCTAGCCTTTGATCATGTTATCAGCGACCTTTTATGATAACCTATTTTCAGACCTTTCCTTCGTTTTTCAGGATTACCGGCGCCGCTTCATGATAACCATCCCTGTCTAGCTGCCTTTGCCCTCATCTTTGGGATGTGAAGCTAAATGAAAAAGTTCTTAACTA